GGCCGCGGGCTCCTCGCCGAGGTGGTGGGAGACGCTGGGCGGCGAGGGGCCCAGGATCTGGAGAAACGTGGCCCCGAAGCGTCTGACTTCCAGGAGGGGCTAGTGGCAACCACAGGCCCGGACAACCATGTTTCTGTATTTCTTCAGGATGACGTTGGAACTGTCATCGAAGTAGAGCACGGAAATGGCATTGAGCTGAGTCGGAGCACAGCAAGGCTTGGGCACCGTTTCCGGGTTGATGAAGTGCACCTGGAACACACACCAAAACGGTGGCAGTGGTGAGACCCGGTGAGTCACTCCTCCCTGGCCTCAGTATTCCTAAAAGGAACAGGTACTGCTTGGACAAAAGTCCCCCGCAGGTGACACTCACCGGTCACTCTCAGTTCTAAGCGCTTGCTGGGTAACTAACTCAGTTCTGGGGTTATTCTTGATCCACAGATGAGAGAACCAAAGCATAGAGGGTCACCCAGCACATGGCTAGAAGACACTTGGGGCCAGCATGTGGGGCTGTCCTGTGCACGGTAGGATGTCTGACAGCATCCCTGGGCTACACCCACTAGAATTCGGAGGCACTCCACCCCACCCCCGCACCGTGACAACTAAAAATGTCTCCAGACATTGTCAAATATCCCCTGGGAGGCAAAACTGCCCCAAGTGGAGACCCACTGGGCTAGACGAGGGTTAGCCTGCAGGCCGATCCCTGCTCCACCGCCTGTTTTTATGAATAAAGTTTTATTGGCACACGCCACGCCCATTCATCTACACGTCATCTGTGGCTGCTTCTGCTTCTGCATTACACAGCATCTGTGGTGAAAAGGTGCGGCACAGACTTCCAGCTCTCGAGGTTGAAAATATTTACTATCTGGCCCTTTCCAGAAAAAGGTTGCCAACCTCTGGGCCAGACCTGTCCTGTCCAAGAAAACTATCACGCAAACCACATGTGTAATTTAAAACGTTCTAGTAGCTACATTTTAAAAGGTGAAAAAGAAAGAGGTGAAATTAAACAGTACGTTTACTCTAATGCCAGATTTCAAAAAATCATCATTTCAACGTATACTTAGCATAAGGAATCATTAATGAGATATTTTACATTTTTTTTATACTAAGTCTTCAAAACCCAGTGTGTATTTTGTAGTTGCAAAACATCTCGATTCAGACTGGCCACGTTTCAAGTACTCACTGAAGAGCCACCACACAGAAGTGGTCACTGTATTGGATGGTGTGAGTCTAGACCATATTAGACTGTTCTGCATCTTAAGCAATAAAAATGAGAGGCAAAGAATTTGGGCAAGCCCTTGGGTGCACGTCCACAAGAAAGGAGGAGGTCCAGAGGTAAGAACGAGGAAAGGAGTCAGCCAGTTGCCCAGGTTTATTGTTCCGTCTGGCTCGTGGGCGCCTACGCACCTTACAGGTGGTGGGGCTTGGGGACAAACTAATTCAAACGTCGGCAGCGGCCATGCAAGCGCCACGGACGACCAAACTGGGCCAGGAGTCAGACCATAGGGGACGGTGAGGACCGGGGCAAACCAAAGGGAGATGGACACAAGCTGCCCAAAGCCAGTGCGATCGGATGTGCCGAGTGCTCAGGCCAGCTGTCAGTCCTGTTTTGTTTTTAGGAGAAACTTCCAGGTTTCCGACACACCACGTGGGCCAACCGGAAACCCTGTGGATGACCCTCCGCCTCCAAGCCCCAGTCTATGACCTCCCACGTAGGTCAGCGTGCTTTTTAAACTGTTTTTTATGTTTAATCTCAAACCTTACAAATCTAAACCTTCCCCCATCTCCTCCATCCTTGAATAATGTGAAAGCAAATCCCAGATGTTAGCTCACTTCCTCTGTATTGCATTAGGACTCTCTAGAAAGCAGGGATTCACCTCCTTTTCAAACATGACCTTCGTTTCAGAATAATCAAAGGACTCATTCTGATCCTAGAGCTTTCTGGTGAATTGCAGATGGAGAGAGTGTCACAGGGCGGCCGGGCTTCTGCTCCGTGGGCAGGGCTCAAAGAGGGGTGGAGGTGTGCTCCTGGCAGCCTGGGAGACACCCCCGTCACTCTGGTCCTCGGAGCAGGACAGAACAGGGGGACACTGGCACGGGGGACAAGTTCAGGCCAAGGAACAGGCTGGGGTGACTCTTCATTTCCAGCCTGAAGACCTTCAGTCCTGAATAGGGCTTCAGAGTTTACTGCTGTGGGAGCGGGGGTCCTGGCAAAGCAATGTTTCAAAAAAGAGGCCTTCCCTCAAAGGGCAGAGCCTAATCCAAATAAATGGAACAGGGGAGCGAGAAGTAACACACGGGGCAGGGACAGGGAAGAGGGAGGCAGGTTACTAAGCAAAAGAAGCACAGAGCTCTGCAACAGACAGACCCGTGGTACAGAGGAGATGGGCCTGGGTAGTGAGCTCTCTATCACTAGAAGCATTCAAGCCAGAGAGGATGACCAGTGTCAGGGAAGGCCTAGATCATGTTCACAGCAAGGAGGAAGATAAACAACGTCTCTGAGCCTCAGATTCTAAGCTAAAGAACAAAGTCTCTAACTCGTATCACTCTTGTTGTTGGTAAAGTAGTAAAAATAACATCTGTTGAGTGTCCTCTGTGCTGGATACCCCGTTAAGAGCTTTAATTGCATCATCACACTGAATCCTCCAATGACCCCGTGAAAGTTCAAAGAGCCCCATGGCTGCCCCCCATCTCTCTACCCTATTGTCCTGTTTGCCACCTTCCTGTCGTTCCCCTCTCTGTTCTCCCTGAAGTTCCCGCATTTGTTCACTTGACTGTTTCCCTGCCTGGAAAATGAGGCTCTGAGTGCAGGGACCACGTCTGTGATGTTCCCTGTATGCTGTTCCCTGCAGCGTCCCCAGCTGTCAGCGCAGGGTCTACATGTAGGAGATGCTCAATAAACACGCTTGAATGGCTGAACCACAGAGTTCAAGGCCAGGAGGCAAAGCCACGAGCTCTGGGAGGGGATGAGCCCTCAAGCCTACCCGACCTGGAGGAAGCCCAGACGTTGCAGGGCCTGTGGATGTGGATGCTGACGACCAGGAACAGCGGTCGCCTGACGGAGGCAGGGCCAGGGCGCCCGCCGTTACGCACAGTGGCCTTTACCCACGATACCTTTAGGAGCCCACGAAACTGTTCTAACTGCTTCTAAAATTAGGAGAAATAAATGCACTCTAGGGTTGAAGACATACACGAAGATTATAATACATGTTATTAACTATAATTTCTAGTCTTGTTTTATGGAGGTAGGGCCCACGAAAGCAAAAGTGCCCTGGGCTCCTGAAAGCCATGACGTGGTCTTGGCCAGAGACCTGCTGTGGCCCCAGCTCGGAGGAGCACGAGGCGGGATGTGGTGGCCCTGCTCCCCCAGCTGCCCACACCCCGGCCGGCGCGCAGGCCACTCACCAGTGTCTGCACGATGGCGTGGTTGGTGGCGTTCATGTAGGAGTTCAGAGGGAAGGCGCACTCCCCCTCGCAGTAGTAGGCGGCATAGCCTTCGGGCGCTATGATCCAGTCCTGCGGGAGAGAGCGGAGGACGAGGCGGGGGGCGGGTTCAGAACCACGTGGAAAGTGGGAGCCGCAGGGTCCTGCCCTCTAGGCCGAAACATTCCTCCTGTGGGCCAGACTCCGAAGCTCCCAGAGGTCAAAGGCACGGCCCACCTCCTCCTGTGCAGCTTGGGCTCCTACAGAGGCAGCCTTCCATGGTCCCAACAGACTGCAGAGTGAGGGAAAGACCACCGGGGGCTGGGCTGAGCCCAGAATGAACACTTGCTCTTCATCGGAAGGTGGCACAGAGAGGGGTGATTAGGGTGGCATCAACCTTACCCCTGCTAGGTGGTAACCCGTGGGCGGTTTGCTTTAAACAAAGCCTCCAGGCCTCACTTTACCCACCCAGGAGAGACGTGACAGCATAGCCGACCCAGCACAGTGCCTGGTACACGTGTGCGACTCTACAAAGGACGCACGTGGTCGGGTTAGCACAGAAACGTTGCACTAGCAACACATATGCCCCTCAGGGACCCAAGTGCATTTGGGGCTCTGTTCCAGCACTAGGACGCAAGCACGGCCTGCGCCTCTTAGGCCATGGATGCTGTCGTAAGAGTGAGGACAAAATCGCAGGAGGACTCCAAGCCGGCTGTGTGCACAAGTGCCCTGGGGGTGTATCTGAGGACATGATGACTTGGGAAGAACCTGGACCCTCCCACTGAACTACAAGCTCGCTGAAGGGAGAACAACAAAACCAGTGGTCCTAAGGGTCTTACGACAACACCCTTTCCGGGGAAATTTGGGCTCCATGAGGGCAGGCACATTGCTATGCCCAGGGCTGCACCTCTAGTGCCTAGAAAAGGGCCCAGAACGTCATAGATACTCATAAATAGTTGAGATACTCTTTTTCTAGGATTCATCCCCTGCCCTGCTCCAGTCAAATGATTCCAGAGGGGCAGCCACAGTCCTAGGACATGACCCCAGCCCTGAAACAGCTGATTGGTTCAGGAACAAGCACCTGACCCGAGCTGGGCCAATCAGCACCTTCTCTGGGAATTGGAATCACAGACGGGGGAGGGAGAAGCAGACAGGGCAGAGGGTGGTAGCCCGTCCTCCAGGCAGCTGGATTCCAGCTCACGGACTCGGCCACGTCTGAGAGAAGCAGCCAGTGCAGGATGGAAATGGGGTTCACGTGGAGAATGAGGTTCAGAGTCCACAACGTTTGGGTTTCTGGTTCTGGCTTGAGTGTCAACCGTGTTTCTGCTCTTGGGTTTCACGGGGCATCCCTAGAGCCCCTAGTTAGGACGCGATACTGGAGTCTCAAGAGATGAGAAACACGGCTCGCTGCACATGCGGGACCCAGCCCCACCTCCGGGGGAGCCCACACTGGAGGCCTCACACATCCGGGGCCGATCCAGCCACCGCCGCCCTTACCTGCCAGCCCAGGTCCCGGAAGCTGACGTACAGCTCGTGCTTCTTACAGGCCTGCCTCTGGTCGCTGCTGCTGTTTTCTGAGGAGCGGCACCGGGGGGAGGAAAAGGAAATACACACAGATTAGAGTTTCCTCAGTCTAAGACAGTGGTGTGATCCCAGCAAACTCTGAAAGCTGGAGGGTGACCTTCCTGACACAGAAGCCGTTCAAGCACCTGTTGCCTCAAAACTCATTTCCATCCCCAGCAAACGGCCTCTGTAAGGGAGGCACCAACGCCCCCGTCTCTCTTACGCAGTCTTAGCTCACAGCTCTCTCTGGATCCTTCTGTGGACACTGTTTTCTCTTGTTTGGATGTGGACGTCTGCGTGGATTCCGTGTGGGAGTCCATTTCCATCCACATCCCACACGCTGGCTGCAAGAGACTGCTCGGAGGGGTTGCTTCCACTCAACCTCACTTTGTGAGGCCCGCCCACCTCACGATGCTCAGCCCCGAGGAGCGGGCAGCAGGAGACATGGACAGGGCCTGGGACAAACCCCACCATCGAGAAGAAATGACAGGGCGAAAAGTCAAGCCCCACTGACCTTCCAGAAAAACAATACTGAGGTTTCTCTGAGGAACGAAAATGATGCACTGGGGTTTTCCAGAAGTATGTAAAGTTTGCAGGAACTTTGGGTTAGGAATTGAGCCCTTGTAAACATGTAGAAATCTGTTTATCTCTCTCTTTGTGTCTATGTCTCTCTCTGTCTCTGTCTCTCTCTGACACACACACACACACACACACGCACACACACACACAGCTGCCACTGTATAACCTCCCCTGAACCCAGAAGCTAGAGGGATTCATTTTTTTTCTTAACCACGACCTGTCTCTCCTCCGCCTAAAACTTCCCAGGGGCTTCCTATCAGCTTTTTTGAATATCCCCAATTGTACATGTATCTTTATATCTAGAGTTCAGAAGAGCAATTTTTTAAAATGTACAAACCAATGAGGAAAGGACACAATTGATTAGGACAGAATTGCATGTGTCTTTCTAGGAGGGATCCTGGCTCCTAGGAGACACTCAGGACCAGTGAGAGGATCTCAGTGAGGGGGGCCAGGACTGGGGGGCGGTGGTGGGAACAGCCACCTTCGGGTATCTCGGGCCCTCATTACCTTGGTGCCTGGTATGTCATTCATTCATTCATACAAATTGTTAATGTCTACAGATTTGCAGATGCTGTTTTGGGCAGTGGAGCTGCAAGTGTGAACAAAACAAAGCCCTGCCACTGAGGGGCTTATCCTCCAGCGAGAGGCAGATAATGACCAAATGAGGAAACACCAATTCCATTCCATCTAGATGAGTGCCGTGGAGGAACTAAGGGAGGAGAGGAGAACGGGAAGGGCGGGCTGAGGGGTCTGTGCCATGGGCGCTAACCAAGGCCTTCCGAGGAGGTGATATTCTTCGTGTAAGAACGAAAGGAAGTGAGAGGGCGGGCCAGGGAGGAATCCAAGGGAGGAGGTCCCAGGATGAGGACGGAGCAGGATGGAGAGGAGAGTTAGGAAGTCGGCAAGAACCAGGACAGGAGTGGCGGTTGGCAGAGGGACGGGCAGCAGCCACTAGAGCCTTCCAGGAATGAGGAGGCAGCGCTGGGGTCAGCGGCCGGCAGCGTGCAGGGGGGAGGTCTACTTCGCTGGATTGAGCTCCACGGCTGGGGGGTGGGGAGGTTAGGGAGGATGGAGCAGGAATGGGGAGTCCTGGGCCCCCCTTCCCCACTTTGGGACCTAGCCTGAGGGCCTTGAGATAGAGAAAACCAGCTGCAGGGGTACTAGGGCTGCTGGAGGGCCAGGTGGTCACTGATATACAAAGGTCAAGCTCAAGGGAACCATCAGAGGCGAGCCCAGGAACCTCCTGGACCATTCACTGTGCCATATGGAAGGGCACAGACACTGAGTGGAAATCCAGGAAGGCCTCCATTGCTGTGGCCATGCCTGTGGCCCCAGGCGGCCACCCCACAAGCCTTCTTCCCCTCCTTCCTTGTAGGGAGGCAGAAGGTGGAGGGGAGAGGGGGGGAGTAGCCCTCAGCCCAGTGATGTGTGAAGCAACCTGAACAAGACAAAGGTCTGAGCATGTTAGCCTAGGCCAGGGATGTGGCAAAGAAGCTGTGCGTGGAGGGCCAACACTGCTGGCTGTTTGTTGCCCTGAGTAAAGAAGGATCTGAAGCTTTGTGTGGGCTCAGTGAGAAGAATGTGCCAGGATTGATTAGCAATGTCTGCCATTAGCAGAGGAAGGGCGAGTAGGGACCTTACTGCCACTTTTCCCAGCCCTGTCTGAAAACAAAGCAATGATACGTGGCTTCATGTTGAAGCCCAAGGCCCAACAGACCAAGGACAAGAGCAGCTCATGAAGCTAGTTGTGGGCATATCAGTACGGGGTGGGCCCTGGCCCTGCCATCAGGGACCTCAGACACCTGGGTCCTTCAGGCCTCCTTGGAACGTGGCTGCTCCAGGAAGAAGTGGTTGGAACTCCTATTTCACTCTGACCTCTTACTAGCAGAAAGACGAGGAAAGGGAAGAAAAGAGATGCTCAAGAAGTAGAATCCTAGTTCCCCTGTTCCTCCTGTCCTGCCCACCATCCCAGGCCGCAGCAGCAGGCAAGCAGGAGTGGAGAGGCAACTGCTCACCCACCTCCGCAAACCCGGCCAGAGCAGCTGAGAAGTTACAACTGGGGCTGGGACTCAGCTCCCACCCCCGTGGGTCATCTGGTGAAAATGGCTAATGACTAGGGAGTTGGGTCCAGTCGTGGGTGAGAGGCAAGTGGAAGGGAGGCGAGGGACCCAGTTTCTCGCCCCAAACCACACGGTCTGAAGAGCAGCGGAAGGCCTTTGCGGGGTGGGGCTGGCCTGCAGGACGTGTCTCTCTAGCACACAAGGGCTGCCACAGCAGAGAGGATTCTACTCATGTGGCCCTGCAGCAGGATTCCCAGCTCATCACAGGAGGCAAAGCACTTCAACCGGGCATGTGTGTACAAACACACACTCAGAGATTCTGGTTTACTAAGCCTGCAGTGGGGCCCAGGCTTCGGTATTCTTTTAAAATTAAACTCCCAGGCAGGGTTTAGGTGAACTTCAAACAGGGCCAGGAAGTAGAAATCCAGAGCAAGGAAGTGGATCCCAGGCAAGGTAGAACAGCTGCCACGTGAGATAGTGAGAGCTCCGTCCTGTGGGATTATGTAAGTGCAGACTTGATGGGGGTCCTCACCAGAGGACGCAGTGGGGGAAGCTGAGTGTCCAATTTTAAGATTTTGAGACCAGTCCCTCCCCTTTCACTACCTCGGTTAGACCGTTACACCTGACAGACCTCCGAGCCACGGGAGTCTCCGCGGGGATGACGTTTGCTAGCCCTTCCTGCCTGATTGATATAGAAAAGCCTCTCATAAATCTTCCTATTCCAACCCTCCCTGAGTGCCCCGCCCTGCTCCCCAGCATTCTCAGAGCAGCCAGAATGAGCTTCTTATCAACCCCACCCCGAATCATAGCTGGAAACTCTGCAAAGGCTTCCAAATTTGCTTTGGATGAAATTCAAACTCAAGATGTGGCTCCCGAGAGGACACTTGACCGTGCTCATTCCCCAGCCCAGCCACATGGCCTGCCCCCCTCCACCCTCCCTCCCAGAGCTGCCCCGAAAACTCCCTCCACTTGCAGGTCCCACTGCCTGCAGCGCTGGCCTCCTGCCCACCGGGCCTGGCCCCTGGGGCACCAGCTCGCCTCGGAGCTCTCAGCTGGCAAGTCTTCTCTGAACCACCCCCTCAAGAGTCCCTCGTCACCACGTTCCAACTCCCGGGCCTGGTGTCAGTGTGGCTGTGAATGATGGCCGCCTCCTGCCCATCCTGAATCATCTCTGCACCACGGCTGGGCTTTCACTGGTGAATCCCAGCCCCCAGGAGCCCAGCGCAGAGGAGGCTCCTAATACAAATGAAGAGATTCAGTTGGGCTTTGATTTGGGGGATCACAGATTCCCTCGGAGCAGCCTAAAGAATAACGGATGCACCTGCCAGAAAAGAATCTAAAGATCCTTTTCGATTCAAAAGCTCTGCACACAAGCTCTGAAGCCACACGTACCCACTAGTACCCACCCAGCAGGATGCCCTGCTCTCGAAAACGTCACCAACCGCAGTAACTGTAATTTTCTTTTTCCTCGAAAAGGAAAATGAACAGAAATTTCAAAATTGTCCAGGTAAGGCAGAAGAAGCCATTGACAATATAAGTGAATCTGAGGGTGGCAGCCCCTTTCCCACCTCGCCATCACCCGTCTAAACACCCCCCATGTCTCCCTTCCACGCTTCCTCCGACCAGCCCCAGGCCTCTCCCAGCTCACGATGAACCCAGAGCCGGGACGGCTCCACAGGAAAATCGTACCGGCCATATTCAACAAGTGTTAAAACTTGCCATGAGTTTCAAATGTTTTTCACTTGAAGAAATAAAACTAAAGATGCAGCACACTCCCCCCTTTTCCTCCTCCCCGCTCCCCGGGCAGCGGCCTCCCTCCCTCTATTTATTTGGAGCTATTGTTTCTTCCGCTTAGAAATTTACATGATTGGCATCTTGTTACACTCATGTTTTGCTACTTGCATTTCGAAATGAATTTATGACACAATTTATACCCGGAAGACGGTGAGCTCTGGGGTGGAAGGGATTCTGTGGGCTGTGCTTCCTGCTGCATTGGTTCCAGAACCATCTGTCAAGCACATGCGTGGATTCTGAGTCCCACCCCAGCTGGGGTCCCACAGTGGGCCCCCTGTGGGCTCCTCGGGGGCGGGGGGCGGGTGTCCACGTGTTAACCCTCCCGCCCCCAGGCGTACCTGCGACGTTGGCCACCCGCAGGGCTTCCTGGTTCTTGGGTGTCTTGGAGCGGTTCTGGCTGCGCTGCTTGCCCCCCGTGGAACGGGTGCTGCGGAGGTGGACCTCGGTGGCCTTGAAGAAGGCCACCATGAAGGGCTGCTTGTTCTGGGGCCCCTGCCGCCCGATCAGGCCTGCCAACTTGGGGTTGATGCTCTGCCCTAGACAGGAAGGAGTCAAATGCACAGAGGAGCGGTTACAGGAGAGGCGGTTAGTGGGAAGGGCTGCACAGACTCCGTTTCAGCCGAGGCTCGCGATCCATCCGCGCGCCCACCACTCGTCCATCGCAAGTGTGGCCTCAGCTCTGACCCTAGCCAGGTTGCTTTAGAAGCTTGGAACACGGTGCGAACCACAGAGAGAAAACTCCCTGGCCCCTGGGTGCGCCCACTGGTGGGGAAGGCGGCCAGGAAACACGCAGGGCAGGGAGCCCGTGGTGATACGTGTGTGGAGACAAACGGAGCAGGGGAGGGGTAGGACGCTGATGTCTGCAGAAGGACTCCAGCTGGTGGAAGTTCCACTCGCATCTCATTGGCCAAATCAGGTCATGCGATCCACCTAAATTCAAAGGGTGGGGTCAGTCCCGCTTGGTGCCCAGGTGGGTGGGAACAGTCACAAGCAGCCCCAGTGACTGCCACCTTCTGCGCGGAGGGACCTCTTGAGCAGAGAGGTGGGTAACAGCGAGGGAGGGAGCCACATGTCAGGGAAGTGGGCAGTGCAAAGGCAAAGGCCTGGAGGTGGCGGGGGCGCAGTGAGAAAACTGGCCTCCTCTTGGAGCAGAGACTAAGGGTGAGAGGGCCGGGGGAGTTCAGGGCAAAAGTGGTGGGCACAGCAGGGGGCAGAAGCAACGCAGGGTCCTGGGGGCATCAGCGAGCCCTTTACCTTTATTCCATTTACTCCCGCAACTTCATGTCCACCCAGAACCTCAGGATGCGACCTTATTTGAAAATAGCATCTCTGTAGATGTAATTAGTTAAGATCATACTGGATTAAGGTTGTTCCTAATCCAATGACTGGTGTCCTTGAAGGTCACGTGAAGACACGGAGATGCACGCGCACACACACACACACACACACACACACACGGCAGCCTTGTGAAAACAGAGCCCAAGGAACACCGACGGCCACCAGAAGCTGGAAGAGGCCAGGAAGGACTCTTCCCTGGCGCCTTTGGAAGGAGTGTGGCCCAGGACACCTTGGTTTTGGACTTGCAGCCTCCTGACCGTGACAGAATAAAGCTGTGCTGCTTTGAGTCCAGGACACACACCCTGTCTGCATGAGTGGAAACCACGGGGTGTTCGGCTGAGGAGTGGGCAGCTGCAATTGTTTGTAAAAGACCAACCCAGGCCACTGCTGGAGAATGAACTGCAGGGGGCGAGGCTGGAAGTGCGAGTCCGGGCAGCGGCGACGGAATAGCGCAGGAAGACGTGACAGGCACTGGACGGGGGGCAGTGAGGGCAGAGGCGGCCGGAAACCCTCAGACCCTCGATGGTTCATTTTGAAGTTCATCTTTAGAATTTATTTTATTTTCAGTGTCTCGTTTTGGAATAATTACAGATTCACAGGAAATTGTGATAAAAGTGTACAGGGAGGCCCCATGTACCCTTCAGGAGGTGGGGAAACCAAGGCGGAGGGTAGGGGTGGGGAGAAGACCTGGGAAGTGGAGGACAGAGGACGAAACAGTGCGACTGAGCAGCTCCTCTCTGAAATCCCCACCGGACGCACGAGGAAAACGGGCAGGGGACAGCAGGACATCCCAGCCCAGGCCTGGCTCCTGATCTAGGGAGAGAGGCAGCCTTGGAGCCAAGACGTGCTCTGGTCCGGGGCCCGCCTTCCTGGGTTCACGCCCCACCTCTGCCACTCAACACACAGATGCTCCTCCCAGCAGAGCTCTGCACGCCGGAAGTGCTCACTAACCACCAGCTAAGGGCAGCGGTCCAGGCCGGAGTGGAGACTGCACCCCGGGGAGAGCGTGTAGCTGGACAAGCAACGTGAGGACCGAGCCCAGATGCCCCGTCTCCACCTGAGAGATCCGGGGAATGCGGCAGAGGCTGTGCACGAGTGCCCGACGGGGAAGGATCTGGAAGAAGCTTGAACGGAGGAAGGGGGATGCCGGGAGGATGTGGGGCTCTGGGTTCTGGGGGAGAAGGCGGATGAAGCAGTCATAGTGTCCTGTGCTCTGCGGGCGGGTCCAGTGTGACAGGGGCCTAGAACAGGCTACCAGCTCTGGCAACGATGAGACCGTTGGCCAGTATATACTTAACATCACATCTGGTGGTGATAAGTGTTCCAAAGGAAGGTAAAGCAAGAGGACAAAGAAAGCCCATCTCACTCATGACAAAACAGCTCAGAGAGGCTGAATAACTTGCCCAAGGACACCCAGCTTGGAAGCAGGGAAGCCGAATCTGAACCCAGGGGAGGCTGCTTAACCACAACAAATATGGTGCCGGCAAGTTGGGTGAGAAGAGTCAGAGGTCAGCGAAAGCAGTGCTTCTGAAGGCCCTGGGCCCGTCCACATCTGGAATCGACTTCACCTGGAGCCTTCCAGACGGGCCAGATGTCCCGAAGCCCGGCCTCCCAAGGACCAGACCAGCATCGGGGGTTCTCTCTGGCTGTTTAACAACAAATGTTTAAAGAGCGAGCTCTTCCACTCACCACTACTTTACCTTAGTCGCTTTTAATGCCGGCTTTCCTGCATTCTTTAGTGGGGTTTCCTCGAGTTCACCCATCTATAATTTGAATGATTCTATAAAAGAAACCATTAAAGCCGAGCCCTTAGGAATTGCGTCCCCCCCGGAAGGCTTTTAGGGCAAAATAAAAATGCCTCCCTGAAAACCTGATCCCGTTCCAGATCCAGTAAACCCAAGCACTGGGGGCAGTCGCTGGGCATCTGAGGGAGGGTGTCTGGCTCGATCTGGCCACTGTCAGGACAGGCACGTCCAGGGACGCACAGCCTCAGCTGAGAAATGGGCAGACAGAAAGGAAAGAAGAGGGTCTCCAGGGGGTTGAAACCCACATCTGCTGCTGACCAGCCTGTGTGGGCTGAGAGAGGGGAAGTCACGTGCTGGGGCCTCCATTTCCTCATCTGTGAAATAGGGATGATGCCATCTGTCTCACCCATGCCCTCTTTTTTTCTACCCAACCCAATTTTTATTTAGGCAGCCGTGCCTTAGAGTGACTCCAGCCTGGCTATAGAGGGCAGGACCTGTGGCCTTATACGCGGCAACCAACCCTCCAGCTACAGCGACTGGTTCAGGAGTGGGCACGTGATCCAATTTAGTCAATGAATGGAGCACAGGTATCCTAGAAGTTTCCAAGTCCAGAGCAGCCCTCTCTTTCCCTGGACAGGATTGAGGGAGGAGGGATGGAGAGAGTCCCAGAAACAGCTACCATCTGGCAACCACGAGTAGACCACATTTCCAAATGGGGCTGACCTGCTGGAGGGAAGAGCAGAGAGACAAACAGACATGTGATCTCTGGTGGTATCACCGAGCCACTGGATCACACCATTCCTGAAGCTGAATTCTTGCCCCGGCCAGCCAAACGAATAAACCCCTTTGATTGTTCAGTCCAAGTTGCCATTTTAGGGTCATCCTTGCCCCTTTTTCAGAGGCTGGAGAACTAGGGAACAGGGTAGCAAGCCATCTTGGGCCTGGTAGAGAGCAGGCACTCACAGGGCAGGTACGGATCATTCCCCTTCTATCACCAAGTATGAGAAAAGATGAGAGCTTTCAAGGTAAAACTGTCACCACAACAGACGTTCACCTTCAACAAAAAACAGGGATACGGAAAACTACAGTGAAATATCACTTCGCTCCCACTAAAATGGCTAAAATAAAGGCAGACAAAAGACAAGTACTGTTGAGGATGTGGAGAGAGTGGAACCCTCTTACACTGCTGATGGGGTTATAAAAATGCCGCAGATGTTTTGGAAGACGGTTTGGCAATTCCTCAAAGAGTTAAACGGAGAGCTCTCATTCGACCCAGCAGTTCCATCCCTAAGTACGTACCCAAGAGAACTAAAAACATAGGTTCGCAAGTGCTCACAGCAGCATTATTCATAATAGCCAGACGTGGAAACAACCCAAGTGTCCATTAGCTAATGAGTGGATAAAAAAAACACGGTGTATCCAGACAATGGAATATTATTCTCCAGAAAAAGAAATGAAGTACGGATCCACGGTACAACATGTATGAACTCTGAAAACATTATGCTACGTGAAAGAAACCAGTCACCAAACATCCTATGTTGTATGATTTCCAGAACAGGTAAATCCATGGAAACAGAAAGTAGATTAGGGGTTGCCAGGGCCCAGGAGAAGGCAGGGAATGGGGGGAGTGCTAATGGATAGCAAGTCTCTTCTGGGGATGACAGAAATGTTCTGGCATTGTTGAGTGGGATGGCTGCACAACAAGGCGAATGTACTAAGAAGTACTAGACGGTACACTTTAAGATGGTGAATTCCATGAACGTGAACTGTATCTTAACTTTTGAAGTACATAAATTACAAAAAAAAACAGGAGTAGGAATGACCCATCAACCAAACCCCGGGGGATAGTTTTTGCTAATAAACAGTGTAAGGATGTCCGTCATAGTGCCCGGCACTCGTGGGCTCCTGAGGACCGTTTACGAGATGAACAAACGTCTCCTGTGCCAACAGTGGGGCGAGAGCTCACAGCCCAGCCAGCCCTCTCCACGGCCCCACGGGGCAGACATCGTGATGTCACTTGTCAAAGAGGAACAGGCTCCCGCGATAAAGGCCTTGCAGCAGGTCAGTGGTGGAGCCAGTATTCGAACCTTGTTCTGCTGGAAGCCGAAGTCTGAGCTCTCAGCTTCACACCAGTGTGTCCTGGGCTGCCCCATGTGCTAAAAAGGGGTCAAGGTTCCCCAACACAGGGTGGGAGCTGCACGTGAGCTCGGAGGTTCCCCTGGCCCAGGACCGCATCTCAAAGAGCCACCTGGAGGTGGAGAGGAGACAGCTTTCTCCCAGGCTGGTCTTCACCTCCCTGGTATTCCTTGAAAGGTCAACTATGCGACCACGGTCATTTGGAAGAATGTGGAAAGAAGGACCCTGAACTGAGTTCATCCCCCCGGCTTCCTCTTGGGGTGGGAGGGTTATAAAAACTCTGCCTGGTGTCTGCAACCGGAGCAAACTGCAGAGAA